CTTTCCATGCGGTCAACGTGAGCGCAAGACCCCTCCGACCGGTTTGCTCCTCTGGCTCCTCCTGCTCCACCGACCATGCGTCCTACGGCTCAGTGGCAGCAATCGAAAGAAGGGCCACAGTCCTTCCAATTCTTAGATCTGTGGTCTAACAACTCACCTTCTACAGGTGCGCAGTTCGTTGTTTTCGTGGACACCCGGAGCCCCGTACTGTGAGTGACCAGAATGGATGCCAAACATCAAACGCCTCAAACGGAGGATGAAGGCCTCCGAGATCACACTAAACACCAAGCACAGGGTCACGGTTCCAGCCTGAACTTCGGCGTCTTCCTCCAACTCCGTGGCGTCGTCACTCCCACCCGCGCTTCTAGGGCAGCCAGCCGAGCGCGAGTCGCATTGAGTTGCCCTCGCAGCAGCCTCAGTTGGATACAGACATACATACAGACACAGAAAGATAGAAACAAACATACACACATACATACATACATACGTGCGTGCGTGCGTACGTACGTACATACATGCATGCATGCATACATACATACATACAGACAGACATACATACATACATACAGACATAGATACATACATAGATCGAGACAGCCAGACAGAATTAGATTGACGTCGAAGTGGCCAGACCGGCAGAAATACCTCCTCAGCTGAACCTCTCAGGACCTGTCTTTCTTTCACCCTTGGGTGCCTTGCAGCGTTCGTCACTGGGTCGGACCAGGCACGCAACACTGGGTCCTCGCCGCCCGGACTGAGTTACCGGACGCAATTTGAAGCGCCGCGGAGCCTTGGAGATTCAGGCGACCGAGTTGGATACGGACCAGCAGCGAATCGGCTGACCTTCAGGTGGATTGGTGCGAACATTCACCTGATTCCTGGATTCCTGGAGGCTTGTGAGGTGTGACAGTGTGGAAATTGCAGGAGGGAGATACATCAACCGCAAGCAACGACTAGATTTGAAACGGTGTTGGGCTCCGTCGGACCGCGGTCAATGGTCCCATGAGTGTATGAAGACCCAGGAGTGTTTGTTCGAACTGACGACAGACTCACGACGCCCCCTGGCCGGGAACCATTAATTTTAAAAAATGATGAAAGGGAGGCTCACGTCTTCAAATGTCTTTGTTGTCTTTGTCGATGAAGAGGCTACATTGGTCTTTTTGGGGGGTTGAGGATTCGCGATTGCCTCATTCCCAATTCCAATCACCTTCTTCCCAAAAAGATCAAAAGAGCGCCCAGAGGCCGCCAGAGGGCCGAACACCATTGCAGACGAGACCGTTTCAAACGAACTTCCCCGCGTGCCAGTGTTTTAAGGGAGTCCCCTCCATGGAATCTCCACGATCCCCTCTCCGTAAGACAATACTTGCAGGATCTTAGCTCTCAAGCCAAGCGGCCCATGTACGGCTGCGTAGATACAGTTTTTATCGACATGGCGAAAAATGCCTCTTAGAACGTAGCTGCAGGAGGCAGGAGCACAACACTCCAAGAGCGGACCACCAAACAATATGCCATGCAAGTACGTTTCGGCGAGCTTGGCAATTGAGAACCTTGTTGACTGCTGGAAAGGCAGCGATTGATGCGGACTCAAGTTTCAAGCCCCAAAACAACCACTGGTCACCAACTTGGTCACCAACTAGGCATATAAACATGATTCTGGTTGGAACAAACTGCATAGGTGTTCAAACCAGGGTCCTTTCCATCACCGAAGCTCCAAACCGCCCGGGGTCTTGGGACTCACCGACCGTTGGGATTGGGTTTGCACCAGTGAGGGTGGATGGATCGATGTGGGTCGACGTGGGTCGATTCAGAGTCGGAGTCCTTGAACTCTTTCTAGGTCTTACGAGGCAGTCAGATTGAGCAATGTTTTCATGATCGATTCCATCAACAGCATGGCAATTGAACCTCATGAGGGTCGTGAGAAAACCCTCAAACAGACAACAACCATTGTTGAAGCTGTTCAATTGATTCCAATCTCCACCCATATCCACCAAAATGGAAACTTGCCTATCTCCGCCTTGGACTCTGCCCCATAAACCATCTCCACCGTCTGGAGCCCCATGCGCCCCCCGATCCCAAAAAAAAACACGACGCCCTCCTAACGCGCTCGCTGGTCCCCGGTCGGTGCCTACCGGGAGGTTCAATAGCCGGGACCACGTCACTCGTGGTAGCCAGGTGAGGGGGAGGTCCAATGGAAATGTGAAGTGTTGGGGGTGTGAAAAGATGGCATGGAGTCAGTGCAAAAAATCTGACGGGTCGGTGGGCTTAGACATGCGCCAGATGCTGCAGCCGCGCCAGCACATCTTCAGCTGGAGGCCTGCCCTCCAGAAGAGCCTCCAGGCTCTCACGCGGCCACGCCATTGGCTGCGAAGGCAGGGGACGAACGCAAGACGGAAGTCACGGAGACAAGTGGCCAAAAAAAAAAGTTGGTACCGTGGGAAAACCTCATTGCGCTACATGTGTGGGCTTCACGTGATGACTGTCTTCGGCTCGGCCGCGACACTGGAACCAAGGTCTATGACACTCTGGGCCGGAACATCTTTTGCAGGAAACAACGTGTTTCGCTTGGGGGTCCTGTGTTTGGCACCGAGCAAAAACACACATGTGCATGTGAACCAGGAGGCCTAGACCCCAACGTGATACTGCGAAAGGCAAACCCTGGTTTTCGTCGGGCGGAGCACAAGAGACTGGAGAAGTTTGCCCATGAGAGTTGAGTGCGCAACAGGTCTTGGTTTGCAACACCCGAACGCGACCATAGTGCTCTTGAGTCCTTCTGTACGAGTATCCATTCATATCCACTCTTATCCTCCAATAGGCACCCTTTTGGGAGCTGCTTGTGTCTGTATATATATATATGTGTGTTTTTTAAAAATATAGATCTAACCAGAAACCTATTCACTTTACAATGTAATTTTGACCCGGTCAATCTGTCAATCAGCCAACCGTCAACTTCTCCGAAGCACAACCTCACTATACCACCTTTGTCCAGCCCATGCGGGGCACTATGCTGCTCTTGACCTGACACTGGGGTTGTCAGCCCACGGGTGGAATCCAAACGGTTGCATTTTCAGATCAAAAAGGCATGCACACTTTTCACAACCTGGCAGGCCTCTGACCCCTTTCCATCTCAGCAGCTCCGGCTTGTGGGGATACCTCCTCAAGCGGTTGTGGGCCTTGCGCAAGGCATCCTTGACATCCCGCTGCTCACTGTCATTTTTGCTCCAGCTGTTGTCTCCACCACGTTCACAGCAGCCAGCACCACATACCGCACCAGCGCCCTGTTCCACCAAGGCGCGCAGCCAGCTCCCAGCGCCGGAACCCACCACCACGCGCACAGACAGCTCACAACCGGCACCCGGCATGCTGTCTCCACTACGCGCGCGGCCAGCAACCGGCACAGCACCCTGTCTCCACCACGCGCACAACCATGCAGCTCACCCAGCACCGGCACCAGCCCAGCTGACAGCACCAACACCCGGCACCCTCTCTCCATTACGCACAGCCAACCCAGCACCAGCACCGGCACCCACCAGCACCAGCACCCACCACGCGCACAGACAGCTCACAGGAGGCACCCGGCACCCTGTCTCCACGCGCACAGCCAGCACCCTAATTTGAAGTAAGAACCCCATATCTTCGCTATCTGGGAAAAAAACCAAGTGGTGCTGGGAGCATTACCTGCAGCGCTTTGGAGCTGGAATCTGTCATTTTGCGCGCTGTTTGCCCTACATCTTAGGACTGCAACACGATAGATGGATAGCTCCTTTGGCAAATAGCCAGTTGGGTACTTGTAGCGGATGAGTTGTCCCTTAGTTTGTCACCACAACCAAGCTGAATGCTGAACTGGTAAAGAGATAGACAATGGACAGATCAAGAGATAGATTCATGAACAAATGTAAATTACACCAGCATAGACCCAGATAGCTAGGCAGAATCCCACGACCTGTTGACATGGGCAGCGGCACCAGCGCCCGACCAGCGCCGCCGCCCGTCTTAAACGCGCGCTCAGTCAGCTCACAGCACCAACACCCAGGACCACAACCACCACAAATCGCAACCTCACGGTTCCCTACACCTGCCACGAACATTTACGTGTCCACACGTCTAACAAGCACAAAGTACTGCGCCTGCCACGAAATGTGACTTCCGCCCCACTTTGTAACCTCACGATTCCCTGCGCCTGCCACAAAAATGGCACTTCCACACCTCAAAACCCGCACAAAGTACTACGCCTGCCACGAAGAGTGACAATATCATATCATGTGAGCTTCAACAAAGTTTGCACCACATCACATTGGAATGGCTTTGACACGTCCTGAGCACACTCCCATCCACCAAAGTCGCCATTTCAGCTGAGACTTTGTCACGAAAACATAGCTTCGATGCAACCCTGAAACGCAAATCCCAATGCCACAGCCACATCCAACACCCCAAAAAACACCACTCCCCAAACGTCAGTCCCAATGTGACTACGCAGAAAACTGCGAATCTCGCAAAACGCTGCGCCTGCGCAGTGAAATCATCCTCCACACTTCAACATCTTACGTTTCCACACGATTCCTCGCTATCTCACACGCATCTGACCCGTCACGCTTCCATGCAAAACTCTCTCCAAAAGCTTCCCCGAATGGCAGCGCCTTAGCGCTCTACTGCGGACGGTTGTGGACGGTTGCGGACGGTTGACAACGGTTGCGAACGCTACGACAACGAGTCGCGAACAAGGCTCTACCCCCAGACCCCCAGAGTTAAACGAGAACCTTCGCATTCGGGAATAACTGTTGGCGAACGGACGAACGGAGTTTTTCAGACAAACTTGAATGCTAAATATATATGTGCTCAGGTCACACAACCCTTCGCCACCAGGGTCATGTCACCCATTGAACTCAAACGAACATGTACAGAATGGATGAGTCGTTTCTTTTGCCCATTTGGCCCAGAAAGTGTGTACTGAAAAACGTCTCCAGTATCTCTTGGCCCTCAGGTCCGACGAAAAACCATCGCACCTGGCTCACTTCAATGCCCCAAGGCCCTGTGGCTGCATCAATCAACTCGGTGATGCGCGCATTCAAACGGGGCCGCTGGGCAAAGATCTCACTCAAGGAATTCTCCCCCACCACCGTGCGCATGGTCACCTGGACCAGGTTGGTCAAGGCCTGCTTGTAGTTTTGAACTTCAAACAGCACCTTGGTCGCATCCAGCACACGGTAGAAGCAGACCGCATCGATGGTCACGGTGAGATTGTCCTTGGTCATCACCATCTGCGGCTGTACATCGATACAGGCGATTTTCAACGGCACGACGAGGACCTGTTCCACCGCCACGTTGAACTGGTGTCGGCCCGGCTCCAGCATGCGATCAAACTTCCCAAAGCGCAGGACCACTCCCACGGAGCCCTGGTCGACCCGCGCGAAGTTGCCCGCACCACCAAAAGGCAAAGCAAAGATGGAATAGATCTGGCCGAAGACCGTGCGGATTTTGTTGCTAAAGGGTTCCCTTTTCTTTTTCTCCGTCTTCTCCGACTTCGCCCGAGAAGACAAACGTCGAGCGCTTCGCTCTACGCTTCTGACTGCGCCAGTGGAGCCAGCGAGGAAAGCAAGGAAGCCCGCCGAGGTGCTCAGAGTTGAAGAGGCTGAAGATGGAGGAGCTTGCCCTTTTGAAAGGCTTGGGCTCACTGGATGTTGAAAGAGAGAAGGCACCGAAAATGCGAACGCTGTCGCCATTGCGAAGACCCGCCGGGAAATGGAGTCAAGTGTCCAGTTCGGGGCTCCCCACAGAAATCATGAGAATGTCCATGTCAGATCCATGTACGATGAGTGAACTATACACTTCCAGCATTCCAGCCAACATCGGCTTTGCGACCATCGAGCAGTGGAGACAGCAATCTCAATGGGCTTCTTTACCTGTCAACTCTTCCAGTCATCTTCCAGAGGGGCAAAAGACTTCGACTTGACTCCACCAAAATAACTGGAACATACCTGGAACCATTTGGTGAGTCACTCAATGTAATCCTTGCAGAATGGCTGCAAGATGCTGTGATTATTGTTTTTGTTGCACATCTATTTTGTGCGGGATTCACTCAGGATCCCTGCCAGTGATGCGCAGCCGGCGATGCGAAGGCACTTCAGCTGGCTTTCTTGGACCTCGACATGGAGGTACTGCAGCAAGTAGTCGTTTCCATGGTCCATGTCAATATTCACATGTCTATTATTGCCATGTATTGCCTGTTTCAGCATCTGTAGCAAAAAAGTCTATAGTCCATTACTGTCGTTAGTTATATGGTCGCTTTTGAGGGCATTGGTGCACAGATGTCCACTGCTTTCGCGTTGTTGAAGGAGATGTCGGAATGAAGACGTCACGACAACTGTCTCGGATCGGCCCCGTTCTGTTTGGCAATCACTCAGATTCCAGGCCTGAGTTCCAAGGTTGACAAGGACCTGCCAAAACGTCAGAACGATTGGAAGGATCGCTAGGAAGTGATGCAAAGCAGCTCGGAAATGTCCATTGAAAGTTTCTGCGTCTGTCTGTGTCTATCGTGTGTGTGTGTGTCTACCTGTTCTACCAGCCATGGCAGACCGAATCCGAGAACAGGCTCTCCCTCTCCTTACTAGTGCTCTTTATTGGTCTTAATGCGTGACCTCATCTTTCATTGCCATTCTCGGTGGGTTTCTACCTAACGCATTGTGTCATTGCCATGGTGGACATTTCAAAGGGATACCCAAATAACAGAAAAGGAGAATTCCTATATGGATTCCTACATCTGCTTCCATGAAATTCCAAGTGGTCCCATCTGTTCCATCGATCAACCGTCTCGACGTTTTCGGGCGGTTCTGTTCCATCGACCGGGGGCAAGCGTCCACTCGACCCTCTCATCCAAAAGGTTCGTTCGTTCGCGGAGCCCACGAATCCACAACACCTCGCGCGAGCCCGGCGGCCTCACTGTCCAGCAAATTCCAACTGAGATCTAACCTGCGGATGTTCGGCGTCTGATGGTTGGAATGGTGAGAAAGATGCGGATTGGATGAGGAGTGAACCTGGGGGACTTCTCACTTCATTGCGTTCCTCATCAGCGGCTTCTATTTTTTGGCCAGGATGAAGGGATGTTCAGGGATTGGATCCTTGTCCCGTTCTACATGAAATCATAAACCCTAGTTTGGTGGCAAGTGCCTGTGTACTCACTTTATCAAAGGAACTATCGAGCTAGGTTGCTCCACAATGTTTGTAGGATCCTTGTCCACAAGGGAAGGGACCTTGCACGGAGCAGTCCTTGCCATCCCTCTGTCACACCCTCAGACACCAGTTGGATAGAAACGATCGTCGAATTCCACCTCGGCCAGTGATGCTGTTTGATTTGCATCCACAATTAAACTACCTATATAACTAACAACACCCTGTAGATCCTACGGCCACCCGAAGATCCCCAACCCCTTGGGTCAGGCAGGGTGGCCGGGCTTCTCCGCTCGCTGGGTCGACTGGGGTTCCTTGTCAGCTGAGCAGCCGGACTCCCGCAAGGTGCGGCTGCTTAGCAAAGCATCCAAGGAGGGCACGAGAGAGCTGGAACCTGCTTGGCCTGGGATCATTGAAACAGAACTACGAGGACTTGTAGCCCAAAGTTTAAAAGGGTGGAAGTGCAGAATGGAAGCACTTCAAATCTTCCTTTGTAGAACAACGTCCGCAGTGTGGGCTCTCCAATTGTCAGGATGCATGGTTTTCACGTCCCAAACCAACATTTGGACACCCCCTTGGCGTTTTGAGCCGTGCCCTGCCTGATGCTCCAATTCCCAGATCTGCCAAGTAGAGAGACTCAATGCGCGGATGCCTAGGCCAGGGATTTCCACTGGAGATTGGCTCCAACCGGACTGCATCCAAGCGGAACCTGGCCCTGGCACAGTCTCTGAACCCTGGATGATCACTTTGTTCTAAAATGTTCTCAATATATAACATATTCGCGTCCGAAAGATGTTGGTAGACCTTTAGGTGACTGTCCTGGTATTCTTGCAGCTGCCACCGAAAAGGCACCTGTTTGGCCACAAGATAAGTTTATTACATCGGTGCCTTGCTTGGTGTCATGAATAGCAAACACCAAGGTGCAAACCCAGAGGGCATCCCTCACCCAAGGTGCTGAAGAACGCCCCTGCAGACTAACATGGACCATGAAAATGGACCCATATAAGACTGTTCTCATCTACCACCCAGTGGTGTTTAGGGTCCTTGTTAATTTGCAGGAGGTTATCAGTCTCCATTTTCCAATGTTAGGAATTGGTGCCCGTGATCGGAATTGTTTGCACTTATGCGGGGACAAGAAGAGAATTGTGCAACCAGGCAGTGCCAGACAGGTCGGGCCGATTTCTCCGAATGCACTCAATCAAGTCTGATCAATGCCCAGGCTCTTTCCAATGACGCTGCACATACTGCTGAACGCCTGGCACCGACATTGAAGCCAGGAGGCGGGTTGGGCAGGGGCTTTATGAATCAACAATCTACAGACACCGATCAGAACTGTAAACACAACCTGGGATTTCAATGATGAACTACAGGTTGACTGGGTCTTGCCTCGAGAGAAACTACATGTGAGCTTGGATTTGATTTTGTGCAAAAGATGGCGAACATGTTCGACCAGTTTGTCCGTCCATCCACCAGCTGTTTTCGTAATGTTATGATTGCAAAGAACTCATCAGCACCACTGATGGGAAGACTCCGAGGATTGACTACAGGACCCCCTTCTTGACAATGGTTTTACATCTCCATCTGGGGGCTTTATTGATCAGCAGTCAACATTCCTGTGCATGCCTTTTGGATCATGCGGTATTTCGCACTCGCTCGAAACCTCACCGAAGCTCGCCTGCATGGTGAGCTTGATGCTGCTCAAGTCCTGGATTTGGGGCGACGTTTCAGGACATCGAGGCACCGTGTGTTGGAACAAGAAGAAACCCCTTCAAGACATCCATCTATCCATCTATATCCCCTAGTGAAGAGGGTCCAAAAACCCATGCGGTTGCACCAGGCAAAACAAAAACATACAAAAACCATCGGGATCAGACCCGCTCAGCGCGAACGAACCGCTACTGGAAGTGGCTGCGCAGCTCTTGCCACTCCGATGCGGAAAAAAGGGTCGAAGGGGGGTAGACGAGAGCGACCGTGGAAGGAAGGAAGAAAGACCGGGCAAAAATTGAAGGGATCGAATTTGTGAAATCCATGATGTTTTTGTACCTGATATTTTTTATTGCACCTCTGACCACCACCCAGTACTGGCAGTTTGTTCTGCCTGGTCGAACGCCCGTGGGCTCGACGACATCCATTTGTGCAAGGATAAAGTGCCAGTGATGCCCCCGCATACTGGAAACAGCATGTGAACACGCCCTGACCAGCTGGGACAAGGCACCAAGGTCTTCAAGTTGTTGAAGTCTGGCATCAACTGGAGCCTCAGAATGCAGACGAATCAGTTTTGAATCAACCCAAGCGATGGTCACGAATCAAGAATGTGTCATTTTATTTAGCAGTCAACAAGCAACCAAAACATTGTCCCAACCATTTCGGGAAACTACTCCTCGCAACGGAGTTTCGCATCAGGTTCCTCGTCACTGGTCCAGACATCGGCAAAGCTGGTGGGTGAACCTATCTCGACACATCTACAGTTGCCAATGTTGATCCCTGACAGCCTGGCTGCCTATCTGCAGGGTGTCCATGTGTACAATGATAAGCATAATACAGTTACAGGAAGAGACCATGTCAAACCATGTCAGGTGTCTACGAAAAGCGCGCGCGCCCGCGCGCGCGTGTGAAGACACTGAAACCTGCCGTCGGCATGCGGTATAGTGGGGCGCAGGGGCCCACACGCCCTCAGATCTAAGGCAGAGGCATGACTGAGGCAGTGTGAGATCCAGCGCCGGAGCAGCCTTTCCTCAGTCAAAGCTGCGTTTCGCAGGGTTAGATTAGAACTTGTTCTTGGCTGGTTTCCAGAAAAGTCCTGTCCTCTGGTGTCCTGCGTTCAAACATACTCCATGAAGTTGCAAGTTGCAAGGTATGTGCTCTCAAGCATGGAACCCCAAATGATTGATGAAAGCCACGAAACCTGGGTCTCTTGCATAGCTCAAGTAAACTATACTTCTTGGAAGCAAGGACGATAAAGTTTCATGAAAATGCTGCTGCCCACTTGTTCTTGTTCCACAAGCATTGGGTCTACTCGGAACTTAAATCAACTTAATTACAATGTTCGGCCTTTCATTCTGAACTATCGGAATTGAGTATACTTGGTCATGATCTATGCTTAAGTTGCCTCCCGACTCCCAACGGGCAGTACGTGCCGCACGCCACCCCTCGTGTCGCTGCGTTCGCTCCCAAGAGGCAGTCGAAGAGACGACAAGCTCGGGGGGGCTTCCCAGTGACGCCTGGGGCTGGTTGGAGTGATTTGGGAGCGACGTCTGGGGGGGCTCTTGAAACAGAGAGCACCCCAAAAGACACAAAAATGCGGAAGAATCTTCAGCGCTTCAGGTTGGCCACCTACAGAAGCCGTTTTCCGTAGAATGTTAAAGGCTCAATGGTCAAACCATTTCAGTAACACCCATGTGAAGAGCGTCATTTCCAGGGCTATCCCACTACCCTTGATCTGGCAGCAAACCAAAGATCCTCAATCACCGCCTTGCTGAAGCGGTTTTGTTTTGACCGCCAAACCATGTCACCTGTGCCGAAAAGAACCTCCATCACCGATGCCTCAGTGCTCACT